ACATGCAATAGAATGAAACTGGATCACTTTCTTACGCCATACACACTAAAAATAAAAGATTAAATTTAAGACCTGAAACCATAAAATTCCTAAAAGAAAACACAGGCAGTAAACTCTTGGACATTGGTCTCAGCAATAATTTTTGTATCTGTCTCCTCAGGCAAGGAACAAAATAAAAATAAACAACTGGAACTACATCAAACTGAAAAGCTTTTGCACAGCAAAGGAAACTGTAAAAGGGAATCTGCTGAATGGGAGAAGATATATGTAAGTGATATATCAGATAAGGGGTTATATGTAAGTGATATATCAGATAAGGGGTTAATGTCCAAAATATATACATGCAACCCCCACCCCTCCCACACACACACAGACACAAAACAAAAAAAACCACCCAAACAATACAATTAAAAAATAGGCAGAGGACTTGAATATACATTTTTCCAAAGAAGACATACAGTTAATCAACAGACACATGAAAAAATGCTCAACATGACTAATCATCAGGGAAATGCAAATCAAAGCAACACTGCCACCTTACACCAGTCAGAATGGCTAGTATCAAGAGGAAATAAAAAGTGTTGGTAAGAATGTGGAGAAAAAGGAACCCTATGCACTGTTCGGAATGGAAATTGGTGCAGCCACTGTGGAAAACAGTAAGGAAGGTCCTCAAAGAAATTAAAATAGAAAATACCATACAATCCACTAATTTCACTTCTGGGTATTTACCCAAAGAAAACAAACCCACAATTTGAAAAGATATGCATCCCTATTTTTATTTCAGCATTATTTATAATAGCCAAGATAGGGAAGTAACCCAAGTATCCATCCATAGATGGTTAAAAGATGTGGTATACACACACATACACAGGAATATTACTTAGCCATGAAAAAGAATGAGGTCTTGCCATATGCAACATGGATGGACCTAGAGGATATCATGCTAAGTAAAATAAGTCAGAGAAAGATAAACACCATATGATTTCATCTATATGTGGAATCTAAAAAAACCCATAAATACAAAGAATAAACTGGTGGTTGTCAGAAGGGCAGGGGGTCAGGGATGGAAAAAAAGGGTGAAGAGGAGTGGTTGCTACAGGCTTCCAATTATGGAATAAGTCATAGGAGATGAAAGCTATAGCATGGATAATATAGTTAATGATACTGAAATAGTGTTGTATGGTGACAGATAGCTATGTGTGTGAGCATAGCAGAACATATAGACTTCTAGAATCACTAGTTGTACCCCTGAAACTAATGTAACAGTATGTCAACTAGACTTCAATTAAAAAAAAAAAATCTACATTGTAATAAAATTTTTTAAAAATATTGATGGGCAGGCAATTGATTTCCTTTTCACAGAGCTCTAAACATTTAAAACACAGATGATCAGGATACCTGGCTGGCTCCATTACTAGGGCATGCAACCCTCAGGGCTGTAAGTTCGAGCCCCATATTGGTGTAAAGATTACTTTAAAAAAAAAAAAAGTATTTTAAAATAAATTAGTACAGATGACCAAAATGTTTCAAAATGGTGAGTAAATATTTTAAATTAAGAAGTTCTGATTTTTAATGTAGTTCAATTTATCTTTGTTTTTGGTTAGTGTATTTTATGTCCTTAACAAATCAATCTCTGCCTATACCATGATCATGCAGAAATTCTCCTATATCTTTTTCAGGAAGTTTTGTTTCACATTGCACATTTAGCTCTAGATACACCACAAATTCATTTTTATGATTAGCATAAAGCTGAGAATTTGGTTGTTTTCCATATATTCAGCTGCCTCAGCAGTTTACTGCAAGAACCATCTGAGCCTAATTCTGGATACTTTTCTTTGTACCACTGTTCTATTTAATTATCATAGCTTTGTAATCACTTTTGATATCCAGTGGTCTAAGTTCTCTGACTTTGTTCTTTCGATCATTATTGCTTTTGGTCTTATATATTTTCATATTAATTATAGAATCATCATCTCCCAATTGCCACAAAACCTACTCAAATTTAATGAGAATCACAGTAAATTTACAGATCAATTTGGGGAGAACTGACGCCTTAACAATATTCAAACTCCCAATTTACTTAAATTCCATAACCCCCATTTTATTTAAGTCTACTTTAATTTTTTTAAGATTTTTATTTATTTATTCATTTGAGAGAGAGCAAGCACGCACATGAGCAGGGGAGAGGGGCAGACAGAAGGTGAAGCAGACTTCTTCTGAGCTTGGGAGCCTTGGACGTGGGACTTGATCCCAGAATCCTGGGATCATGACTTGAGCCAAAGGCAGACACTTCACCAACTGAGCCACCCAGGCGCCCTAAGTCTACTTTGATTTTTAATCACATTTTTTAGTTTTCCACTTAAAGGTTTTGCAAATATTTAATTAGATTTATTCCTCAATATTAGCTTTTTTTTTAAGATTTTATTTATTTGACAGAGAGAGACACAGCGAGAGAGGGAACACAAGCAGGGGGAGTGGGAGAGGGAGAAGCAGGCTTCCCGCTGAGCAGGAAGACCGATGTGGAGCTCAGTCCCAGGAACCTGGGATCACGACCCAAGCAGAAGGCAGATGCTTAACGACTGAGCCACCCAGGCGCCCCTCAATATTAGCTTTTTAAAGCTACTAAAAGTTTTATGGTTTGTATAATTTTACTATATAATTTGCAGTAAGTACTAAATAATTCTGTTAAAGTAGATTTTCAAATTTTTATGATAACCATGTCACGTTTCCAAATTTTGTATCTTCTTTGTCTTTTTCCTGGCTTTATTGAATTATTCAGAAGTGTTGAGAGTAGTCACTTTTGTCCTCTTTCTTAACTCACATAAGGGAAATAAATATTTCATCATTAAGTAGGATATATATATATACTGTAACTTTTACGGAAATCCTTTCATCAGATCAAAAGTTCCCTTTTCATCATTTTAAAAAATCTGCCTAAGAGGGCGCCTGGGTGGCTCAGTTGGTTGAGCGACTGCCTTCGGCTCAGGTCATGATCCTGGAGTCCCTGGATCGAGTCCCGCATCGGGCTCCCTGCTCGGCAAGGAGCCTGCTTCTGCCTCTGACCCTCCCCCCTCTCATGTGCTCTCTTTCTCATTCTCTCTGTCTCAAATAAATAAATAAAAATCTTTAAAAAATCTGCCTAAGAAAACAAACTTGTTGGGGTGCCTGGGTGGCTCAGTCAGTTAAGAGTCTGAGTCTGAATCTCAGCTCAAGTCTTGATCTCCCCGTCACAAATTCAAGCCCAGCATTGGGCTCCACATTCGGTGAGGAGCTTACTTTAAAAAAATAAAACAAAACAAAACAAACAAAAAACTCGTGGAAACTGACACTTACCAGCACTTCAGAACTTCGCTGTCTTTTCATCCCCCTTTTTTGGGCTATTTGTTTTTCTCTTTTCCTTGCCTTCTATCCATAAATTCAACAGTTACCCAAATCTATTTCCTATATATCCCCCAGGTCAAGTCCCTAATCTTGTGAAGGTGAAGCCATCTTTTTGATAGTGCCCAGTTCACTCTTCCAAGAGATGGTTGCAATCAGTGAGCCACTGTTTTCCTCAAGTTCAAACTCCTTAAACTTGGCACTCAAAGGACTTCACATGGGAGTCTAACTTTAATTCTAGACTTCTGAATTAATCCCCTACAGTAGGAATCCTAAACTCCAATTTAACTGGTCTTCCCTACTGTCCTCTGAAAAAGCCCAGCTGTCTTTTTCTGGTTCCTTACTCCTCTAACATTGTTTGGATGAAGATACTGTCTTAGAAATAGTATAAGAATGAGAAGATAAGGGACACAGTTTAAAGTATTTAATATAAATAGCCAGTACATGCTAAATGCCAAAGGAAGTTGAGACTATTCGTTGATATATATTTTTTTCTGGTTTTCGTTCCCCTTTAACTGGTCCTATAGTATAGAAATTGTAAACATTTGTATTTATTGATCTACATTTACATACTTTGATTTTTAACTTAAAATTCAATTGCATTAACCTTTTACTGTTTGAAAGAAACAAAAATACCTATCTTACTACTGTACTCGTAAATTCCAGGTTTTTTTTTTTTTTTCCATTATGGATTTTATAGCTCAGTAGAAATGATCCTCAGCAGTTACATTTATTCCACAGTTCTTAGGAAACTTAATTATGGTTAAAAGAGCAAGAACTTGGCACTGACCAGGGTTAATATCCTAAACCCGACCCCCTACCCCCTACTCCCCCCTTATTTACATCAGTGTGACCTTAGGCAAATTGCTTAGTCCACCTTTTCCTTCATCTGTAAAACTGGGTAATACCTACTTCACACGGCTATTGTAAAAATTAAATGAACAGGTGGAAACAATTTCACAGTGCTTCATACATACCAAGAGCCACATAAATAGAAATTATCAATATTAATATTACTGCTCAAAAACAATAATGCTACTGCCAAGACTAGACTGTTTGGTACCTTCGTTTTCAATGATTTTGAAAACCTGAGTACAGCGTAGTGAAACTGCACTGTTGGGGAACTGCCCACATTCTTGAAGCGCAAACTAAATTTGCGCCGTCTACACCTTTACGTTCGCCTTATTTTTACTCAACCCCTCTAGAAGGCAAATGATTAGAAAAATAGTATAATTATTGACCATGACAAAGCCGTAGAAATATCTAAGAGAGATTAAATGTCTGGGATTTGCTTGAAAATAACCCGTGGAGCGGGAGCAAGCCCGGCCATGTGTTGACAATTGTTAAAATTGGGTGAAGGGTTCGCCAAGTTCGTTATAGCATCCTCTCGACCTCTGTACGTCTGAAGATTGCCATAATAAAACGTTTTTTTAAAAGTCCAAAGGTCGATCTTTTTTGTGGGGCTTAACGCAAAATCCTCGTTACGTTCAGGAAGTTACATTGGAAGTACTGGAGGCGGAAAGTGAAACAACAACACAAGCCAGGTGAGACTGGTTACGCCTCCCAGGCGGACCAGAAAGTGTGCGTCTCCTCCCAGAATCCCCGAGGCCCGGTCCGGAGGCGCACCCGCGGAGGCCGGCCGGTCTAATCCCGGGAGAGAGCGCAACACCCCAGGCAACCACCACAAAGGGCGGCCTTCCTGGGACCGCCGCCTGGCGGCTGGCGAGCGAACTGTGGCCTCGGAAAGGTGGACCTAAGGGCCGCGGGTGAGGGGGCAGATGTGGGTGGGTGCCCAACCTTCAGGGCAAGTCAGCCGACTTCCCTCCGCTCTGCCGGAGCTCCAGCCCCAGCAGAGCCCTCAGCCACCCCGGCTGCCCGAGAGCGTCTTCGCCTCCCTTCAGCCGCGGCGCAGACACCCAACCGGCCCACGGAGCCCGCCGTCCTCCCCTCATGCCCGAATCGGGGACTCCTTCAGCTTCTACTTTGTTACCAGGACTTCCTACCGCCCTCAGGCTTGGGAGCGCCTCCTCGACCCCCACCCCCCACCCCCCAACCGCTTTCTTGAGTCCCTAGCCCCACTCACCTCGACAGCGCGGCAGCCAGGCGCCTTCTTAAGCTTCTTCAGCTTCCAGCTTGGCTATCCCGGGGGACTTACTGCCAATCACCCAATCTCCGCCCCAAATCCGGACCAGACTGACCAATCAGCTGCTTCCTCCGGCCCGGAGGCCGGTACTGAGAGCCCGGAGGGAAGGAAGACGACACCGTGAGTGTGCGCAAGCGCGGTGCTTGGCTAGAGGCGGGCGCTTTCGCATGGGCTTTGCTTTGTGTCTTCACTGCTCTGTCTACGAAAGTACTTTGTTAGTAAACCCCATTCTCTAAGTGTGTAGCAAGACCCACATTTTGTAGCCACAAGTGTGTATTACCTTGAAAGAAGCTGGGAGTTTTAAGCCCTTGTTAACCTGACTTATCCTGAGTCCTTTTATCCCACGCTATTGAGACTTCTGTTTACCTGACAGATCTTCCCACGTGAACTTCAAATCCCGGGTGCGTTTGTGTTTAGGGGGTTTGAGGGTCCGGAGTGTACAAAGAGCATGGATGAGGATTTTACTGTCTTCAGTTCCACCGTCTGCTTAGTCTGATTCGTGGGACACGTGTTTTAATAGTTGAATATTCTGGGACACTAAGATTTCAAATAATTCTGCCATGAAAATGATCATTGCATCTATAGCTAAGAATACATTCAGCATGGTAACGTGTGTAGGCCCAATAAGAAATTCATGTGTGGAGTGAAAAACCTGTTTAAGTATTTCTGTATGGCCTTTAAAGAGGCTGTTGCTGATTGGTTGTCTCTCTTACCCTCCCTTTGTAATTGATCACACAGGTCACTCAGCAGGCACCAGAGCTATGGTGGTTTTGTCCCGGTTGCCCGGGTCTCTTCCTGGAGAGGGCTTCCCAACTTCAGCAAGAGCATTAATCCATTTACTCAACAAGGACTTACTGGGAGCCCATTATGACAGTGCAAAGATTTTTAAAAGCCTTGAACCACGCCCTCAGTGAGCCTCCAGGCTAACAGGAAGACAGAAACACAAACTTAACCAAATGTTATAATGGAGGAATGGTGGAAGCCTGGGAGACCTGCCTAAGCCAGCCCAAGGGCTCAGGGAACACTTTCTAGAGGTGTGCTTCGGCTGAGGCTTGATGAAAGAGTTAGTGCTTCTGAGCTAAAGGAGTGGAGGCAAAGGATAGCGGCATTTCTGGCAAAGTTTACCTGTTCCTTTTGAGATCTTTAAAGGGTGGGTTTACTGAGAAGCTAATGAAGCTTGTGCTCAGACCCCCTGACTTGCCCCAGACCTTTCCAAGACCCAAGGAGGGACCCTAGCACTGAGTTCACATGGTCCTATGTTGTTTTCTACTCTTTTTTTTTTTTTTAAAGATTTTATTTATTTATTTGACAAAGAGAGGCACAGCGAGAGAGGGAACACAAGCAGGGGGAGTGGGAGAGGGAGAAGCAGGCTTCCCGCTGAGCGGGGAGCCCGATGTGGGGCTCTATCCCGGACCCTGAGATCATGACCTGAGCTGAAGGCAGACGCTTAACGACTGAGCCACCCAGGCGCTCTGTTTTCTACTCTTTAAAAGGAACGTGGCTTAAAGAAACCTTCAAACAGAGATAGGTTAAGATGTGCCTTTTTTTTCCCATTCCAGCTTCCTTTTCTTCACATTTCTCTGCATGCGAGGTGCCCTCCAGTTACCCTGGGCATTTTGGGGTCTGGGTGAGGGGAAGAGGATTGAGTTGAACTTAGATTCCTTTTGTGATCAGTTATTACTGACTCTCACGATGTTGTGATGTCTTCCCAGGATACTCCTAGCCATACTATATGCCATCTCACAGAGGGCCTATGGATGTGTCTCATGGCACCTGGCACCAGAAGTATGTGGCTGGTGGAGGAGAAAGGGTGCAAAATGTGTTGAGCCAGAAAGTAGGGGAAGATCTTCCAGTCATCATACTTGACATTATAATCAGGTGCTTCACTTTTTGCTTTCAATAAACTTTATTTTAGAATAATTTTAGATTTACAGAAAAATTGCAAAGATTGTTCAGAATTCCTGTTTACCCCTCACCCAGTTTCCATTAATGCTAACATCATGCATTATCATGATGCATTTATAAAATTAAGGAGCCACCATTGGTACATTACTCTTTACTAAACTCCAGACTTTATTCAGGTTTTATTAATGTCCTTTCTCTGTTCCAGGATCCAATCCAAGATGCCACATTGCATTTAATCATCATGCCTCCTTGCTTAGACTCCTGGTCTGTGACAGTTTCTTAGTATTTCCTTGTTTTTCATAATCTTGATATGACCATGACAGTTTTGAGGAGTGTGGTCAGATATATTATAAAATAGGCCTTGATTTTGAATTTGTCTGCTATTTTTCTCATGATTAGACTGGGGTTCTAAGGTTTGGGAGAATATCACACATTGAGATGCCCTTTTCATCACATCATTTCAGGGGGTACATAATATTAGCATGATTTATTTCTGCTGATGTTAACTTGACCATGGTAATGTTTGCTAGTTTCTCCACTGTAAAGTTGCATTTTTTACCCTCTTTCCATATTCTCTTCTTTGGAAGCAAGTCACTAAATGCTACCCACCCTCAAGTGTCATAAGAGATTAAGCTTCAACTCTTGGAGAGGAATATCTACATAAATAACTTATAATTCTTCTCTAAGTAAGATTTGTTTCTTCTGCCCATTTACTTATTTATATTCATTTATTCATAAAGTATCATGTATATTTATTTTATATTTTGTTTATATTTTATATATACAACCTCTCAGTGGGCAAAGCTAGGAATATATTATCACATTGTTTTTTAATTCTTTGTTTACATCTCTATGATAGGTAACCTCTAAAACGGCCCCCAATGATCCTTGCCTCCTGGTATTCACACCCTTATGCAATCCCCTGTTAAAGAGGGTGGGTTTGACCTAGTGACCTCCTTCTAATGAATCAAATACAAGAGTGATAGGATGGCAATTAAAAGATTAGGTTAAAAAGAGTGTGGCTTTCATCTTGCTTGGTCTCTCTTGGTCTCTCCTTTGCTCTCTCTGAGAGAAGCCATCTGCCATATTGTGAGCTGCCCTATGGACAGACTTATGTGGCAAGAAACTGAGGGAGGCCTCTGGCCATCAGCCAGCAAGCAGCTGAGGCCCTCTTTTCATCAGCCTCTGAGAAACTGAATCCTGCTAACAGACATGTGAGTGAACTTGGCAAAAGATCCTCTCCCAGTTGAGCCTTGAGATGACAGGAGCTCCATTGATACCTTGATTGCAGTCTTGTGAAAGACCCTGAACCAGAGACCCTGAGCTAAGGCACACATGGATTCTGCATGCACAGAAACTATGAGATAATAAACGATTATTGTGTTAAGCTGCTAAGTTTTGGAGTGATTCATTAGGAAGCAATAAATCATACAATTTCCGTCTTCTCTGCAAGATTGATGGTTCTGAAACTCCACTTTGGAGAGTATGTTTAAAAATATATATACCCAGGCCTCTTCCCTGAATCTTAGGTGATTGTTTTGCACAACTAAGTTTGGAAATTAATGTAGAAAGTTATAGGGCAATCCATTTGGAGACTTTAGGAGAAAATGACTTTCCTTTCTTTTTAGTGTATCTGAACCTGGAGTTTCTTACCCAAATAAATGGCTCAGCTTCCTTGGCAGAATCCAGAAAAACTGAAACGTCAGTAGTTATTTATTGAAAAGAGGAGAAAGAATCAGGGTTCTCTCTTACTCACTGTGCAGCCATGAAAAAGTCCCTTGACCTTTCTCTGCCTCCAAATTCCTAACAGATTAAAGGACTACAGTGTCATTGTTTAGGGAGAGATTTATCCATTATTAAGTGTATTTTAGGCAATAGAAAGGTGACCAAGGCCAGTTGTGGGCCAGCTCCCTTGCAGAAATTTAACAAAAAGGTCAGATTCCCATTTGTTTGTATCGGTAGATGGTGAAGCTGAATTCTCTTGTAGAAAGTATGTGAACTTCCAAGTCAGACAGACCCATATTCAAAAATGCCTCTGCCACTTATCAGCTGTGTGGCCCTAGGTAAGTCAGTCAGCCTCTCCAGGTCTCAATTCCCTGAACTGCACAGTGGGGAAAATAGCCACCTCACAGGATAGCCCTGAAGACCGACTGTGTAACATTTGTAAAATATTAAGGGTTATACCTGGTTTATCACAAGGGCCCAATAAATAGTACCCATGAAAGACATTTAGTCGGCTGTGTGGTATGATCCAGTGGTTAGTAAAGTAGGGGACAAATGTCCAAATATGTTCATCAGCCTGTCTCACATTAAGTTTTAATGACAATCCCATTTGGTGAGATAGGTTGAATAATCTGCAAGCTTTAAACAGTATCTTCCCTGAAAATCCAGACCCTTTCTCTCTAGTTCAGCACTTTTTCCAGCTCCGACTGCCTGTCTATAGAAAATATAACACATTGAAATGGGCCTTAAGAGGTTCCAAGTAAGAATCCAGAAAAACCTAACTGGCAAAAGACCACCAGATAGGACAGTGAAGTGCCCATGTGAGGGGCATTTTAAGACAAGGTGAGGCCAGGGGCGCCTGGGTGGCTCAGTCATTAAGCGTCTGCCTTCGGCTCAGGTCATGATCCCAGGGTCCTGGGATCGAGTGCCGCAGCCCTACTCAGTGAGGAGCCTGCTTCTCCCTCTGCCCCTCCCCCTGCTTGTGTTCCCTTTCTGTTTCTCTGTCAAATAAAATCTTAAAAAAAAAAAAAAAAGACAAGGTGAGGCCGGATGTGTCATTTATTAGCTAACTGGTTACCTTGAGGCACGTTTGTAAAGAAAAGCAGGTTGAATGCTTGTTTCTTAATATTTACCGGTTTTCAGAATAATTATTACACATCAACTATTTTGTTACCCTGAAATATACTACATATAAGAAAGGCAGTTTTAATGCTTGGTTTGAGTCTCTCCATTTATTTACCAGTTTTCAGAAAAATAAGTTGGTTTCTTCAAATTCTCTGAAGGTGACCGGTGATGTTTTTCTTCTTTATCTTTTCCAGTATTAGAAGGCACTCAAGAATTTTACCATTACAGGGCGCCTGGGTGGCTCAGTTGGTTAAGCGACTGCCTTCGGCTCAGGTCATGATCCTGGAGTCCCTGGATCGAGTCCCGCATCGGGCTCCCTGCTCGGCAGGGAGTCTGCTTCTCCCTCTAACCCTCCCCCCTCTCATGTGCTCTCTCTCTCAAATAAGTAAAAAAAAAAAAAAAAAAAAAAAAAAAAGAATTTTACCATTACAAATTAGCTCTTATCAGATCTTTTCTGGAGAATAGATTTTTATACAGAGAGAAGTGGGACTAAATGTACATTTATGGAACAGCCTCTAGACACTGGGCTGGGTGTTCTCCCTTACACTATTTTATGTTGTTTCCCACAGCAATCTTGGAAGGCAGGTGCCATTATCTCTGTTTTTTAGAGGAGATTGAGGTCCTCAGTAACAAAGTGACTAGTATAGAGTCATAAAGCCAGCAAGTGGTCAAAATCAAGATTTGTCTGACCCAAATGGCACCATGTAGCTTTTCTGAATGAGGTCCTACAGACACTGAGTCACTGGGTAGGGCTTACTAGTTATGTCATCAACCTATCTTACCTCTCACCATATATCCTCCTCAGATGTAACTGTTTTGTGACCCCAAGTTTATCACTCTCATACTTGGAAAAGCAGTTCCTTGAAATTACTAAATACCACCTAGATTTTACTTAATGAAAATTTATATTATATTTACACCCCACCTCCCCAGTAAATTTAGCTTATTTTTTACTTTTTTGTGCTCAGTTGGTTAAGGATCTGCCTTCAGGTCAGGTCATGATCCCAGGGGCCTGGTAACAAGCCCTAAGTCAGGCTTCCTGCTCAGCAGGGAGCCTGCTTCTCCCTCTCCCTTTGCTGCTCCCCCTGCTTATGCTTTCTCTAATAAATAAAAATCTTAAAAACAAAAACTTTTTTGTGTGTCGTGGGCTCCTACTCTCTCAGATCCTGTCCAACATATTCAGGTAATATATGCTGAAAACCTCGACTGTATCTTCCTATATATTTTCCATGCTCATAGAATAATATATAAAGATATACATTTATATAAACATGTAGGATATGATTTGTTATTGTTTCCAAAAATCAGGCCATAGTCTATATATACTTTGAAGCATATTTTATTACTTAACATTGTGGAAATCCCTCAACGTCTCTTCCTATAGCTCTCATTTCCCTTTCTTAAAGGTTTTCTAATATATTTTTCATTATGGCCCATGGCCTATAGATATACCAACATTTACAAAGACATTCCACTATTTATATGCATTCATTTGATGTTGAGGTTTTTTTACTGGTGTTGTTTTGGGTTTTTTTGCCAATATGAACATTACAATAACCGTCTTTGTATTTATGTCTTTATATACTGATGCTTTTTATTTCTATGTTTGGAACCTTGAGGACAGCTGAGTTAAACAATATTATCTTTTTTTTTTTTAAGATTTTATTTATTTATTTGACAGAGAGAGAGAGTTAGCGAGAGCAGAAACAAGCAGGAGGAGTGGGAAAGGAGAAGCAGGCCTCCCGCCGAGCAGAGAGCCCAATGTGGGGCTCGATCCCAGGACCCTGGGATCATGACCCGAGCCGAAGGCAGACGCTTAACCGACTGAGCCACCCAGGCACCCAACAATATTATCTTTTAGAACAGATTTTGCTGAATTGCTTTTTAAAAGTCTATAATAATTTACATTTCCACAGCAAAATCTGAGAGTTCTATCCTACCCATTATTCCTGCCAGCAACTTTGTGTCATTTTGATTTTTTTGCCAGTCTGATCAGCATCATGATTGTTCTCATTGTTAATTTGCATTTCCTTATTAAAAGTGAGTTTAAATATCTTCACGTTTATTGGACTTTCTCTTGATTAAATACTAATTTTTATTGTTCACCCAATTTCTATAGGGTTGTTTAATCCCTCTTGAAAATTTGTGATCAATATTTGAATGTTAGCCTCTATCTACCCACTGAGTTGCAAATTTATCCCCATATCTATTGTCTTTTGACAAATTGCTTATGTATTTTTTTGCCACACAAAAAACTGCTTTTTAAAACAAGTGTAATATGTCCATTTCTTTCTAACTTCTGAGTTTCTAGTCTTGTTTAAGGTCTCACCTACTTCTATAGTTTTATGTAGTCTCCAAGATTTTCTTTAAGGATTTTTTGATATTTTATGTTTTACACTTGAGTTTTTAATCCATCTGGAACTTAAGTTTTTTGGTAAATAATGTATATAGATACAATTTTATTTTCATTCAGATAAATAAAAGTGCTTCTATTTATAATTATTTCTCCTCTAAAATTTTCTATTTTGACGTCTTTTTTAGTCTACATATTAGTTTGATAGTATGTATATAGAATTTATGAATAAATAATATACATATATCAGAGCTGTATGCTCAAAACTTTCTTTTTTTTTAAAGATTTTATTTATTCATTTGAGACACAGAGATACAAAGAGAGAGAGCATGAGCAGGGAGAGAGGCAGAGGGAGAGGGAGAAGCAGGCCCCCGGATGAGCCAGGAGCCCAATGAGGAGCCTGGGCTCCTTGATGAGCCCAGGACCCTGGGATCATGACCTGAGCCGAAGGTAGATGCCCAGGCGCCCCTAAAATGTTTTTAAGCTGAAAGCGGTACTTCATCAAAAGGTTTTGGAAACCACCATACTAGACCATAAACTCCTTGAGGACAGTAATTGTTTTCTCTTATTTTTGAATCCATTGCTAAGACTGTCTCTAGCACATTGTATGTGTTCTGAAGATAGTTTTAAAATAATTGAATAAATGAAAACTGCCATTATCTGATTCATGGGTCTTAAGCAACACAGCCATTGAGAAACTTGACATTCCAGCTGTGTCCTGTGGGAAGATATCTGAGGCTAAGAACAAGCAATGACTCATAATAGCAGGTAGTATAACTTTATTGGTGTCAAGTTCATACATTTTTAATATGGGAATATAAATTCTTAAAACCTTAAGAGACTTCATTGGGCTTGTAATCCATAGGTGCTTATGAAATTGTTAATTATTTTTTGTGACTACAATCCTTGCCTCTTTTAAGGCCAGTCATCTAACTCTCTGTAATGGCAGTTGGTAAGGAAGAATTAATCTTCTCAATACTTTAATGTCAGAGGCGTGATTATATTTAATTTTAGATTTTGAACTTCCAAAAGACAAAGACTCTATTGAACATACATTCTGCCAAAAACCTATGTCATCAATTACTAGTTGGGAAAATCCCAATTGTCTTCTCTCTTTCTGATATACAAATTAACCTTAGAAAAAATAGCAAGTTGCAGCACCTGGCTGGCCCAGTTGGTGGTGAGTTCAAGCCCCATGTTGGGCACAGAACCTACTGAAGAAAAAAAAAAAGCAAGTTTACTTTCTGTGTTATTGCACTGTTTTTAATAACAATACTGAACAAAATTTCATTTACTCAATCAAATG